GAGCGGCGGGCGGTGCAAGCGGAGGCCGCTGAGCGGCAGGAAAAGGGAGCTGGGCAGCGATTTCTTGACGCGCGGTGGGGGGTCTCTTTTGGCCGGCCCCGATTTTTTTTTCAGAGGGGAATATCATGCCTGGCTCTGGGAGATTAGCAGTCAGGAAAGTCCCTGCAGGTCCTTCCCAAGGAACCATTGGAAGGCAGGTTCAGTGGTAATCTTGCCCGGGGTGGGGTGGGGAGGGAGTCCTGGGGGGCGTCCCAGGAAGGGCTTCAAAGACATGGGAAGTTCAGTAAACGAAAGGATCCCAACCGGAAAGTTAGACGTTCCCCTGGGCCGCTTGAAGGTCTCCTTAGGAAAGCCAGAGATCTGCTGGAAGGAGGCAGTGTCCGGCGGGCTCATTTGGGTTTGGGTTGAAATCTCTTCTGCAGAAGAGGCCCCCCCTGCATGGCCAGGAGAGGAAGGGGGCGGCCCTCTCACGCTCCGGCCTCCCTGCTAGAGGCTTTGGGTCATTGGGAAGGCTGGCTGGAGCCAAGCATCCCTGCCTCCCTCAGGGGCAGTGCAGCACCAGTGAGAGGCCCCCGGACCCGAAACCGGTTGCCCAAGGCTTTCCCCACGAGGTCCTCCTGGGCCCCCTCGCCCCCCACCCTGTGTCAGCCCCTGATGTCCAACCCGCCTGGGAAGCCCTGGGACCCCACTCCTCCCAGCAAAGCCGCGGGAGAGACCTCGCAGGACGAGCGTCTTCCGATGCGGCCTCGTCCGGTATTTGGCTGGTGGTTTTCCCCGTCTCCTTGGGAATCCCTAAGACAGAGACCACCTTTCTGATCCTCTGCTTATCACATGGCAGCCTCCCTTCCCTCCCTTTTTCCCTAGAACTTATCAGTGTCGGTTTGAGTTTTATTTCAGTCCCCTGAGGCAGATAAACCATCTTGAGGGCAGGACCGTGTTGCATTTTTTAAAACGGCCCGAGGACCCTAATGAGCTCTGGTTTATGTGGGTTGCATCTGTCATTATTTCCTGTATTAGAACATAAAACCGAGAAATTTTACAATGCATTTATTTGACTTCATGGGCTTCACCCTTTGAACCGCTGACCTGGGTTCCACTTTTCTACCCAGTTTTGTTACCATTCAGTGAGGACTGAAAAGGCCAAATCTGATAAACTTCCCTTCAGTTTCATCCACCTGATCAGTCAAAAGGTCGAAGCGCATGGAATCAATGCTTAAACTTTGTGGCCTCATCCATGACTGCCTCCCACATGGATGAGGAAGCATCGACCAGCCGTGACTGAACGTTTATTTCCATACTCCACGTGGCCCCTTAATTATCAGGCTTAAACGATTTGCTAAAATCAGAAATAGGGTATTTTCTTAACAATGTTTCTCTGAATCAAAATACATCGATTGCATCCTTGGCAATTTATTGAGAAATAAATCAGTCACGGGAAGGCGACGGGATGAGAAAAGTCCCAGGTAAACCCATGGTGGCTTCTGGGAAACCCTGCGTTGTTTCCGTCCTTGCTTGGCCTGCCCTAGACTCTGTCCTAGCCTTGGTTCTAGGCTGGTGGGTGGTCTTGGAGGCGGGCTCCCCAGGGCCTGGACCGGGAGCCCTCCAGCATTTAGCACTCACAGCCATCGGCCGCCTCCTGCAGCCACCTGACCCCGTTTTGCAGCAGCTTTTGCCCAGCACCCAAAGTGCGGTCACGTGACCTCAGGGTGGGGGACTATTGTCGGAACTTCGAAACTGGGGCGTAAGTCCCCTTTGGGTAGGAATTTTGTCCGCAGGTGGTGGACTGCCTCTGCAGTGCTTTGGGATTTGCCTTTTGTCTTGTTGGATTTGCACAAAGAAAAGTTCCTCTATTTCCCTACAGCAAAGTGTTAAGCGTACAGGCATGCATAATTAATCTAACTGGTCTTTTTCCGCTTCTCCCTCCTGCTCAAGATCCTAAGTGCCCTGGGGATGTGGATTTCCAGAGCAGCGACTGGGACATCAAGACGATTACGAGTTCCTTGAAATTCTACCTGAGGTGGGTTCAAACTTCTTTGCGCCTACCAGATAACGGCGCCCGTTGTTCCAGATCCTAGGCGGATCTCATAGCCCAGGTGGACGGCACTCTCCCTGGTGCTGCCCGCTTAGCCAGTGACCTGTGGATTCCCTGTGCCAGAGTTGCCTAAAAGCAGCAAATGCTGCTGGCCCTCTGTCCACCATGCTAGCCACCCTGTCCTCTTCCCAATCACTCCACGGTAGATGATTAAAGTTGTATTTTATTGTGCTCCGTTGTTAAAGAAAAAGGAAGGGAAGCAGGAAATAAAGCTTCCGGGCCGACTCTGCCCACTGCCAGGAGTTCGATCCTGACTGGCTCAAGGTTGACTCAGCCTTCCATCCCTCTGAGGTCGGTGAAACGAAGGCCCAGGTTGTTGTGGGCAATGCGCTGACTCCGTGCCCAGAGAGGGTAATCATCTACCATGGAGTGATTGGGACTGTGCCTTCGTAGACTTTCCGGGACGCGGGTGTTCTTGGCTCCGGCCCTTTTGCATTGCTCGTCCCAGGAGGCCATCGGGAACTAAAAGCCCCAGAAGCAAAGCCCTCCCTTTGGTCTCAGGTAGGGGCGGGGAGTTAAGCCCCCCATCCTTGCCACTGCCAAGCTTGTCAGGGGAGACAAGAGGAGGAGGAAGCCCTTGCACCAGCCAGATCAGGGGCTAGCAGCCAGAGGCAGCCATCAGCATAGAGCGTTGGGCGTGTGAGGTGAGCAGAAGAGTGGAGACTTGGGCAAAACTGAAGGAATACAGGGAGCGCCAGCCGCTTGGGCAGGGGGCTGCATAAATTGGAACAGGAGGGGCAGATGCTCTCCCCTGCCATTTGTCAGGCCAGTTCGATGCGTCTAGGATGCTGCTTTCAAAAAAACACGCCAGGCACCCTATCCTATGCATCCTAGGGAACGAGAGCGTAAAGGGTACCCGATGAGCAACAAATGGAGACACAAAGTGCCCCCCCCCCCCCCCCCCCAACCACAGGACCCTTCCCATGTTGAATGGCCCTTGGCTGTTGCTGGCTTTGCACTGTTGCTCCTTCTCTTTTCAGGAACCTCTCGGAACCTGTCATGACATACAAGCTTCACAAAGAATTGGTCTTGGCTGCCAGTAAGTCTCTGTTGGGGGTGGGTGGGGGGGCAGAGGAGGCTGTTGTGGAGGGTTTCCTGATTTTGTGGTTTGTGTATCCTGATGGTGTGTGAAAAATACATTTCTGGAGTGTGAGATCTTTGTCGGATGCTTGTGAACCAACGCCACGCTGCTCCTCTCTTCGGCAGCCCCGGGAGGCTTTGGCTCCCAAAAGGCAGGAACGGCCTTTCCGGTTCGTGGCTGTGCTTGTGCCAAGCGCCAAGCCAGGGCTTTCGAGCCACAGTCCGTTAAAAGAGCTAGAAGGTGCAAGTGGGTGCAAAGCTAAGTCACAGTGGTTGGACCAAAATAAGCACGACTTTATGGCTTGATGTGATGCGTGAACTTTCCAGTTGCTTTTTTCTAGGTTAGCACAAGCAGAATCTTTCCGATAAGGGAGCCCTGCACGGAGCATGTGTTGCCCACCCCAATATGGCCATGGAGTCTTCTTGCCGTTGATGCTACATCACGGTTAATGTAAATAATTCTGATTTCAAGTGAGTTTCTATAAGGGAACGACAGATTCGGTTTAAACTATAAGTAAACCAAATGCTTAACCACAATTTACCATGAAAGCAAACCGGCTTTCCTTTGCCTTGAGCTCTTTCTTTGAGTCTTGTGTGGGGTCTTGCCTCTCTTCACAACGGTGCTCAAGGCAGAGGCAAAAATGAAATGGAAACATATAGAAGAAACCTTAAAAGGCCAACATAAAATAGCAGTGTCGGTTAATTAGTGGTGAAATCTGGGAAACCGGCAGGCAGGTTCTGCCTGGAATATTGATGAGGGGAACTCGTAGGCCAACACTGGAACGTCTGCAGAGGGGAATGTGCAGAGCCGAGACGGCTGCCTCCAAAACAGCCCTGAGCTTTGACTGTGCCCTCCTCTCCCCACTGAAACCACAGGCAGACATTGCGGGGTGGGGGTGGGGGCCAGCAGCCTCCTTTGTTAATCTGCTAATTCAAGTGGCGATTCCTGAATGGTTCCTTCTCCAGCTTCCTTGCCCCCATGTGTGAGGTTCTCTTTTATCTTGCCTCTCCCGGACCCCCGTCTAGTCCATTGTGCAACCTCTGCAGCGGGAGGGGCCTTAGACGGAGAAATTGCGGGTCCTGGGCATTTTGGCTTTCAGTCTTCGAAATGGAGGCCTTTCCTAGAATGAATGTACTGACACTCGGAGACCGATAGCGTTATTTTCCAAATTGATAAATGGATTGTTCTGTGCACGATTGGGAGCAGCCCACATAATGCAGCAGGAAATCTCCCATCCTCATTTGCCTTGAATTTCCAGGCTGCAATCGAATTGAGTGTGGTGATCACCAATCATGTCCTCTGGCTTGGCTTGAGCTTCAGAGCTAATGAGCTCCCCGAGGATTCCCGCCTCCGAGTTGCTCTTTTTATGGCGTTTTATTTCCCGGTTTCCCCCTGAACTTCCTCCACAGCCGGGAAGTTTGATTTCTCCGTCCTCTGTGAGAAGAGAGCGGGGGTCTCTTGGGTCAGAAGGGCCTGGGTTTTTCATCTTGACATAAGGTTTGTCGTCTGTTCGTATGCCACGGAGAATGGCTCCCAATGGCAGCAGCGTATGAATATGTGTGTCATAAATCAAACAATGCAGCGAAGGTTGGGGTGACGTAGAGGAAGCAGCCACCATGCCAGGCCTTCAGAATAAGGGCCCTTCCCCTCTCAGTGCTCTGTCGGAGGATGCTCCTGTCCCCCTGGGCAAGGGGGGCATTGGGGGGGGGGCTTCTGGAGAAAGGCTCTTGCCCTGCTCTCGCTGCTTCCGGGAACCCCTTCAGCGAAGTGGAGCTTGGCGCCGGAGGCTTCGGGGGAGTGAAAAGATTGCTGGGCCACCTGGAGTTTGGGAACCCATCTCCAGTCATTCCCATGGGTGCAAGCGGGGACCGACTCTTCACGCAGGAGGGGAAGGGGGGCGGTGGCCGCCCTCTCGCAGTGCCCCGGTGCCCCATCTTCCCTCCTTAGGAAAGGGGATGGAAAAGCTGCTTGCCTGGCAGCTTCGGAGGGTCCTGGATGAAGCAGTCAGGATTCAGGGCAGGTTACGGGATGGAAGCGGCCTGGGTTGCCCTTGTTGGCCATCCCTGGCGAGAGGGGTGGGGTGGGGTGAGGCGGCCACCTCCATCCCCTCGATCTCTCCGCGGGCCAGCTGCAGGACTTGGGCTGGGTGACCCACTCTTGCCTTGGCTTGGCTCCTCTCCGGAAGGAGGGCCCCCATGGGTGGCTGGCAGGGAGAGAGAGGGCTTGCCTGGGCCACTCCTTCACGGACCCCCCACAAGAGGGGCTTGGGGCCCTCCTCACGCCTCCCTAACATCTACATGAAGCTGCTGGGGAGACCCTTCAGCCCCAGCGGTGGAGCTGTCGCCACTGTCATTGCTGGTGGGTCTCCGCTCTCCTTCTCCCCTGGTGGCCCACAGGATGCTGTGGCCAGCCTTTGGCGGTGCCTGGGTGGGGTGGCGACAGGCTGAACCCTGGCAAGGCCATATTTATACTTTATACTTCATGATTGCAATGTTTGGTATGTTGTAAACTGCCCAGAGTTGCGAGATGGGCAACAAATAAATTCAATTTAAAAAAAAAATCAAATCCAGTTTGCTTCTGGATCCAATTCAAGGCGTTGATCACCTCTGTTAAAGCCCTTCGGGGCATGTGGCCAGGTGGTCTAGCCCTGCCTCGCCTCACCTGCGCCAGCCAAAGGGGCTTCCTAGGGACCCCCTCAGCCCAGGAATTTTGGCTGGGGGGAGTCAAGAGGAAGGGCCTTCTCTGCCGTGGCCCCCACCCGGTGCAACATCCAACCCCCAGAGGTGAGAACTGCTTCCTCCCTTGGTCTTAACTCGTTATTTAATGGTTGCTAATCTCAATTTGAATGTGTTTATTTCCTCTATTTTTACTGTATTGGGAGCCACCCAGAATTACCTGGTGCAGTGAGATGAGTGCCATGTACATTTATGAAACAAACGGTCACTTCCGGGCTTCCTAAAACCTGCAGGCTGCGTGTCATCTGAGCGTCCTGGAGCCCCCAATTTCCCTCCCCCCGCGTTCCCTCCGGAGCGCCTGCCTTTTGAGGCCCAGCGCTTCCTCACCCCAGGGATGTCCTTTCCGAGGCTCCTTGTAGGAAAGGAGGCGACCCAAAGTTCGGAAGGGATCTGACCTGGGCCTGGAAGGAGGTGACGCTTCTCTCTTCCCCCCGCAGAGTCTGAGAACCTGGATGAGCGGCTGGGAGCCATCCACGGCCTGGTCTATAAGCTCCCTGAGAAGAACCGGGAGATGTCCGAGCTGCTCATCAAGCACCTGGTCCAGTAAGTGGAGGCTGGTCGGAAGCGAAGGGCTCCCGGGAGGGGGGGGGCGCTTTGTCCTGGCCGGCCGGGCGGGGGGGGGGGGGGGGGGGGGGGGGGCGGGGGGGTCCCAGGAGCGGGGGGGGGGGGGGGGCTGAGGGGCTGGGCCAGGAACGATCAGGCGTGGGGCGAGGGCTTCCTTGTCCTCCAGAGGGAGGAAGATAAAAGCACGCTGGAATTGGGTGTGAAGTGAACCCGTTGCCATCTGGGGGCGCCAAAGAGAGCCTTTCCTTCCCTTTTGGCACCGGGGAGGTTGGCAGAGGTGGTTCTTGGCTGTTCAGTTGCTAAGTGGTGTCCGGCCCTTTGCGTTGACCCCATGGACCCCAGCCTGCCAGGCTCCCCGCCCTCCCCTTACTCCCGGAACCACTGGCAGGGGACCCCTCCTCCCCTTTTGTGGGGCCGTTTTGAATACTTTGCTTGATGGGCTGGGGTGGGGTGGGGGCTTTTAGCTGGGGTCTCCTTCCTGACTCACTTCCTTTCCTCTTGGCCGAGTCCTCCCAGTCAGCCTGGGGCAGCACCGCCCGCAGGCCGTCCTTCTTGGGGCCGTGTGGCTCTCATGCACTTGCTGAGCTTCAACCCCTCTGGGCTGGGGATGCTGGGTATTGTAAGCCAGTGGCCCCCAACCTTTTTTGAACCAGGGACCGGTTTCACGATTATTTATTCTTCCACGGACCGGTACCTGAGTAACGCGAGACTCCACCGCCATCGGGACGGCTCTTCGTTCGAAGCCGGGGCCCCCTTCGACGAAACTAAGGCGCGAGCACCCAAACACCGCTTTCCAACTGAAAAACCGGACGCACTTTCCAACCAAAAACCCGGAAGCAACCGAAAACCCGGAAGCGCTGTTGAAACAAGATGGCGGCGCCCAAGCTTTGTGGCCCGGTAAAAAATGATCCACGGACCAGTACTGGTCTGGGGACCGGTGGTTAGGGACCCCTGTTGTAAGCAACACAGCCTGGGATTCCCATGGCAGGTCAGGCTGGGCTGTACAGCGATGTGCCTCGTTCCAAGAAGAGCATCAGACGGGCAAACCTCTTCAGGGCCTCTGAAATACCAGGACATGCAGGGAGGTTTTATATCAAAGACAACAGGGCCCTAGGGGTTATTAGGAGAAACAGCTGCAGGTGCTAGAGGTATAGGGTGCATTTGTGCCTCTTTTACCTATTCCAAAAAGCTAATACTAAGTTGTCAGTGCTGAGATTCGAGCCGCTTCCAAGCGGCAAGAAGCCCTTCTTACATGCCGTCCTTGACTTATAACCACAATACAACTTCAACCCCAACAGAGTCATTGAGCAAAGCAGTGAAGCGAGACCTACAGCAAGGAGAGTGGGGGCGCCTTGGGGGTTGGTGGAGACCCCTGGGAGGCTTTGCTCAGCAAAGGCTGAAAATCTTCTCTGTGAAAATCCAAGCGGGATTTTCAGCCCCTGAGCAATAGAGCAATAGCTCCCGAGCCTGGCCTGTGCTGGGCTTTCCACAGGCCTCCCCCACCTGCACTCCTTCCCTTATGGCACTGCTGGGATTTCAGCTGCTGCTCTGTGGGCTGCCCGAAAGAGCTGCCTGCCGATGGATGTCAGCTCCCCTCTCTGCGAGGAAGGAGCCACTTTTCAGCAGGATCCAGAAACGGTGGTGCTCCAGTCGTCAGGACCTGAAGGTGACCCTGCGTCCGCCTTCCTTTCCCTCGTTTTCTCACCACATCCACCCTACGGATGGCCCGGACTGAGAGGGAGGGGCTGGCTTTCATGCCTAAGGCAGAACTAGAACTCGCCCTCTCCCAGTTTCTCGGTCAGCTCCTTAACCACCACACTAAACTGGCTGGTTACTGCATCACAGTGTCCCACGCCTGGTTCGTTTAAAAACACAAGTACTTATCTGGCACTGAAAAAGGGGGGGAAAAAAACGTCCCAAACCAGAGAAGAAGGTTGGTTGGATTTGCCTGCTTCTCGTTCTCCTTACCCAGCACCCACATCGTTCTAAGCTGCCGCTCTACCCCAGCAAGACGCTGGCTGGATACGGACCTGAGTCGCCCTCTTCAGACCGCGGCTCAGCCGAAGTGAGCCGCATCCTTCACTGGCCGTTGGTTTCTCCCTAAACCTTGCCTAAAGAAGATCTTTGTGACTTGGCTTGGCAAAGATTAGTCCAAAACTGTCTCTCTATTCCATCTCACCCCCCAAAAGATCCAGCCCTTGGACTGAAGAACATTGCCATCTTTGATCCACCATCTCCATCCCCTCCGTCCCTCCCTCCCTCCCTCTTACTCAGTAGATTGGGATCTAATTTGTCAAATGCCTTACTGAAACGTAAGTATACTTTGTCCACAGCATTTCGCTGTTCTACTAATCCAGTCACTTTGTAAAAGAATGAAATGAGACAAAACCATGCTGGCTTCTGGTTATAACTTTGCTTGTTTCTAGGTGTTCACAGATCAATTGTTTGTTCCAGGATCTTCCCAGGTATTATGTCAGGGTGATTGGTCAGTAGTTTCCTGCATCTGTTGTTTTTGTTTTTTTTTTCCTTTTTGAAGATGGGAACCAATCTTTTGAAGAAGGATTCCTTCCTTTGAAGGAATCACAATTGGCTTGGTTCTCTCGTAACATTAAGCAGTAAACATTAAGCAGTAAATCGTGGTTAAGATCTCCATGGTCTGACTCCCTGCATTTGTCTCGTCCAAAACCGAGCAAATTACGTGCAATCCTAGCCATTTTCCAACTGCCCACAAGACAGCTTTACAACATGTTTGCTGGAAAACGAAATTGCCCATCTGGTTAGCCAAGATTTCTCTTGAGGGCTTTCTTTCCCAGCCTAGTTTCCTTTGGCTCTTCTTGTGCGTGTCTCTTCTGCAGGAAGGGAAGGGAAGTGCAGCCCTCGCCTCCTCTCGGGGTTCTGGGATCGCTCAGCAATCAGCGGCTCTGATTTCTTTGGTGCGAGCTAGTTTTGGAGCCTGTGCAGGATTTCCAAAGGAAGCAGGCCCTCCTTCCCAATGCCTAGAGACACATTTCCCCCCAAAGTCCAGCAAGTTTGGCTTACGAGAGTTTCCAATCAAAGCAGCATGCTGTCAGATCCCGCAGCTTCGGCTTGGTGCCTTGCCGGCGTTCTGTCATCAATCGGGGAAGGGATGGGGGGGACACAAGTGGGCAATTTGCTGTATACCTTTAGGGCAGGGTATTGGGAGGGGGCAAATGGACGCTCGAGGAGGAACAGAGCCGTTTTGGAACCCGGTTTGTCCTGGCGCCCTGGCACCTTCCAGGCCACTTGCCCCGAGTGTGAAAATTCACCAGGCCAAACACCTCGGCGTTTCCCATAACAACAACTCAGCGGTGCTGGATTGGCTCTGCACAGATGGAGCACAGCAGGAGGGCCGTGGGAACCCAGGGGTTTGGTCCTGCATGGGTGCACGGGGATTCCCCCGCGACTGCAACCAGCCTCTCTTGGCAAAAGGGCCTTTCCACGCCAATCCAGCGAGCTCTACTTCCCTGAGGAATCAGGCTGGGGCCGGCCTGACACACGCAGGTGAGAAGCCAGGTGGCATCGGAGGCCTGGAGCCGATTCGTCACCCTGTGTGTGGCTGCAAGCTTCGTTTACCACAGAGAACAAAACCAGCCCTTTGTGCATCCGTAGGTGCTTGGTTTGGCACGGGACGGAAATGGCCCAGAGGGGGCTTTGTAACCGGCCCGGATTTGTCACAAGAGAGAACTTTGTTAAAGCATGCCCTGCACCTCAAAATCTTTAGCTTGATTTAATGTTCTCCCCCAGCTGTCCTGAAAGACAGGGAAATGTAGAAAAACCCCAATGCTGCCCCTGTGTCGGGGTGCCATAGAAACCACAGTGCATGTTCTTCTATACAGCCAGTACTAAAGGGCCATTCTCAGCTGGTTACTGCTCTTTGATTTAAATTTCTGAGGCATTCTGATCATTTTTATTTGCACTATCTGTTTTACAATCAAGAAAAAAAAAACATTTCTCTAAAAGCAGCTAAAGTTTGCTACGTTATGTGTAAGCTTCTCCCATAAATGGTTGCTCAGGGATAGTTTTGTATTGTTCATTGTATTGATTGTATTTTTATTGGTCAATGACTGAAATAAAATTCTTTGTCTGTCTGCTCTGATTCTCTTTCTAGGTTGATTTGCAAAGCGTTTTGTAAATAATCTTGTTTTGGACAGAAGTCATGCTTTGAATTAAAGGGGAAGGGAAAATAATGGTGCTCCCCTCCTGCTCTCCTCTGGAACTCAATTTGCTCATAACTGCCATTTTATCTCCTTTTTTTGCACGCACCTGTGCACACGTGCACACACACACGGAGATGTGGCTGCCTACAATTTCTCAAATAAGAGTTTTCTGTCCCAGATGAGTGAGGTTTGAATGACATAGATCATTTCAAAATGTCTTGTGTGTTTTTACGTGACCGTGCCGGAGCGAGTTGGGACCTCAGTGATCATCTATCAGGGCCGTTGCAGTTCTGTCTCCTGGGACACGGCAAGGGAGCCTTTGCTTCGAGTGCATATTTGTGCTTACCGTTGGCTTCAGCTGCAGTGGAAAATTATGTCCTGTTTGTGCATACTTCCATGGAAGAAATTAAAACGGCTGAATTCATTTCCCCTGGACAACGTTGTGTGGTGGTCTAAGATCCAGCCAGGCCCTGCCGACTTGGGGGGGGGGTGTTTGTTCTGGGCCCTCCGGGTCAGCTGGGCCCAAGAGGAACCTCCGTCCTCTGCCAACCGGCTAGGGCAGCTGGGAGACGGGGCACCTGGCGCTTCCCTGGCCCTGACTTTGCACCCTCTTCCGCCTGTGTGTGTGTGGGGTGGGGGAGGCAATTCCAGGCCCTCCTCCAAGGAGTTGCCCCTCGTGCCCTCCCCTTTGATGAACCCCTCTCTGTTCTCTCTCCTTCTCCTGACAGGGTGTGTGAACACAGCAGGGAGAACCTCATGTCCCCCTCCAACATGGGGGTGATCTTTGGCCCCACCCTCATGCGTGCGCAAGAGGACACGGTGGCGGCAATGATGAATATTAAGTTCCAGAACATCGTGGTGGAGATTCTCATCGAGCACTTTAACAAGGTACAGGAGTCCCTGGCTGGCTTTCC